GTGGGGGCGGAGCTTGAGCATCCCACATCGGTTGCTGGCGCCCAGGAGTCCTCTCAAAAACCCTATGCATTTGCAATACTAGCTCGACTTCACGTGCGCGTTGCTGTTCTGCTGTCAGAGGGGNCGGTGCAATCGTCGTAGAGAGTTTTGGAGAGATTTTTAGGAAAAATTTGTGTATTTTCATTTGAAATAAATTTTAAAAATTATTCAAAAATTCAAAAAACCCAAAAAGCGAAAATCGAAAGTTTGACAAAAATTGATTCAGTCAAATTTGGCAAAAAAAAAACGGTCAGAAAAATGATAAATTTTTGATGAATTTGGTGTTTTGAAACAAAAAAAATTGTCTGAAAAAATTACTGTTTCATAAATTTTAAATAACATTTTTTGAAGAAAGATTGTATTCTTTGTAATGTCTGCAATTTTTCCAAAAATATAACAAATTTCCTACAAAATGAGCCAAAAATGAGCTTTCGGCAATGATTTTTAGTCGAGTTATGGCCAATTGAAGTTTTGGGTTAGAGACGCAGAGACTCTCGTTTCTCTGCGTCTCTCAAAAACTCAAATCGCTATAACTCGTCTTAAAATTGTTGTAGAGAGCTGATTTCTGGAGGGATTTGTAGGAAATTGTGTTTACTTTCCTTTAGAATTAAATTTGCAGAAAAAAAAACATTTCCAAAATTGGAAGAAATGCAAAAACGAAAAATCAATTCAATGAAAATTAGCAAAAAAAATTACAGAAAAAATGGTTTGAAAAAATCAAAACTTTTGGTAAGATTAGTGTTGTGAAACAAAAAAAAAGTGGCTGAAAAACTTGCTGTTTCAAAAATTTTCTATAACAATTTGTTTTAGAAAAATGGTATTCCTATCCTCCCAAAAATTTTCGAGCTAAAAACTTTTCCGTCAAAATAAGCCAAGAATCAGCTTTCTACGACAATTTTAAGCCGAGTTGTAGTAATTTGAAGTTGTAGAAGAGACGCAGACAACGAGAGCACTCTCGTTTCTCTGCGTCTCTTAAAAAAACTTCAAATCGCTATAACTCGACTCAAAGTCGTTGTAGAGAGCTGATTACTAGCTCATTTTGTTAGTCATTTTGTTCGATTTTTTGAATTTAGAAAACCGCTTTTTTTCTGTTCACAACGATGTAAAAATCAAGTTTCTAGGACAATTTTAAGCCGAGTTATGTCCATTTGAAGATGTCGGGGTTAGTGACGCAGTGTATCTTGTTGTCTGCTAATTATCTCCAAAACCAATATAAAAATTCGCCTTATTTCCTACAAATCCCTCCAAAAACCAGCTTTCTTCGATGATTTTAAATTGAGTTATGGCTATTTGAAGTTTTAGGGTTAGAGACGCAGTGTGTGTCGCTTCTCTGCGTCTCTCTCTCTATCTCTCTCTTCTTCTCTTATCTAACTGTTCAATTTTTTAAGTAAAAACCAAAAACAATGGTCAAAGCACCAGAATGTCGTCCGAAGAAGTCTGAGAATCCAACAACTTCAGAGGCTCCGCCCACTGCTCAAGCTTCACACCCACCACCAGCCGAGGATCGTCAAGAGCCAGAAGTAATTGCTGAACCACAAAGACCTATCCACCCAAATGAACGTATTCGGAATCAACCGGTTTGGGAGGAATGGGTATCAATTGCATTGCCAGAGCCTCGAGCACCTCGCCAAAACCCCAGAGAGCGTGAAGCGGAGCATCGAGCAAATGCGGAACAAGCTCACCGGGAGAATAATCCTGTCTTTGAGTATATGGTCAACGAGAGAGCCCGTCGAGAGGAGCAATTGACAGAGGAGAACACGATACTGATGGATACCGTACTCATGTTGCAAGCGATGCGATCAAGAACCACAATCATCGAGAACGATGCGCGTGTTCCGACGGCTCCTATAGCTACTGATTACTTCAGACAATTCGCTCAGAGAAACATGCAAAGAAGAAATGAGGTGCATGACGAGCTGGAGTTTTTGGGAATGTGAGTCTTTTTGCTAGATGAAAATATGCCAATTTTCCTATGAATTATTCCAAAAATCAGCTTTCTACGACGATTCTGAGCCGAGTTACAGCTAATTGAAATTTTTGAGAGACGCAGAGAAACGAGAGCGCTATCGTTTCTCTGCGTCTCTAACCTCCAAACTTGAAATGGCCGTAACTTGGCTCAAAATTGTCGCAGAAAGCTGATTTTTAGAGTTTTCAGTAAAAAATTGTACAGATTTTTTAAAAATTTGCATTTTCTAAAAGCTTAAAAATTGAAAATTGAAAATATCAGAAAAAATTCAAAAAGTGAAAATTTAAAATTTTTGGGAATTCTTAATTTTGCTAAAAATTGGAAATTTTTTTTGCAAAAAAAGCGATGATTTCTAAAAATTTTTAGCGCCAAAAATCATGACCCTAGCTTCATTTTGAGCCAAGTTATGGAACCAAAATTCAACATTTAAAAAAAAATTCGAAAATTTTTTTAACGGTTTCAGCGAAAATACGAAATCACGAGAATATTTTACAGATTTTAATAGTTTTCTCTGAATACATTCAGAAAAGTTGCCAATGACAATTCTGAACCGATTTATGGTGATTTGAAATTTTTTACAGTGAGAGACGCAGAGAAACGAGACCCACTGCGTCTCCGGCGCTTATTTGGGGCTATTTATTTAGATGGTAATTTTTTCATAATTCTAAAAATTCAGAAACTTTTTGAACTTTCAAATCTGTGAAAACTCTTCTAAAAGGAGCCTAAAATCAGCTCTCTAGGACAAATTTGAGCCGAGTTGTGGTCAGTTGAAGTTTTGGGAGCTAGAGACGCAGTGTCTCTCGTTTCTCTGCGTCTCTCAAGTGGCCATGACTCGGCTCAAAATTGTTGTAGAAAGCTGATTCTTGGCTCATTTTGATGTGGATTATTCAGATTTTTAGAAAAATCACAAATCTTACAAACTGAGATTTTCAAAGTTTCCAGATTTTTAAAAACATTTCCAGCAATGAATTTGAAAAATCTGGGGGGTTTTTTGGGGGTCCTGATTGGTCTATGGCGCCCAAGGCTGTGCGAAAATCAGCCGTGGCCGTGGGTATTTTGCCGTGGAACAATCCGGCCGTTTTTTTGAAAATAAGCTCAGCTACCCAGGTACTACTAGGGCCGATAGGCCGCCGTACCCTACCTATCTCAGAAGTATCCTTTTTTGAAGTGCTGCGGCCGTTCTGGCACAGCCTTGATGGCGACCCATGGACCCATGGACGTCTGGATGAACAGACAAACAGAAGAGAAAGATTTTGAAAATTCGAAAATTACTGTTTCAAATTTTTTATTTTTGAGTTTGACTAATTTTCATAACTAATTTTTTGGTTGATTTCAGGCGTCTAGAAAAAAGAAAATGTCAGTAGAGACGAATTTTCCCGGATTACTGTACTTATTCTCATGTATTTTCAGAGTTGATTAGATTGGCTCCTCAAAATCAATGAACATCGTACACCGTGAATCGACGCCTCCGTAAATCTACACAATCTCAATGGTGACATATCCATTTGCCTCCTTTTCTTTTCATCAAAATCTACCAAATCGTATCCAAAAATATCTATTTCTCGCTTTTTTTCGCTCAATTTTTTAGAAATTTCTGGAAAAATTATGAACTCGAGAACCGAAAAGTTACTGTTTCTAATTTTTTTTTCTTCAATTTTTCAAAAGTTTTGATCTCTTTCAGTCTTTGCGACAAAATGTATTACGCTCGAATTCCAAAATTCCGAATTCCAGAATTTCTGAATTTCTGAAAATTCTGAATTTCTGAATTTCTGAATTTCTGAATATCTGAATTTCTGAATTTCTGAATTTCTGAATTTCTGAATTCCAGAATTTCTGAATATCTGAATTTCTGAATTTCTGAATTTCTAAATTTCTGAATTTCTGAATATCGGAATTTCTAAATTTCTGAATATCTGAATTTCTGAATTACTGAATTTCTGAATTTCTGAATTTCAGAATTTTGGAATTTCTGAATATCGGAATTTCTAAATTTCTGAATATCTGAATTTCTGAATTACTGAATTTCTGAATTTCTGAATTTCAGAATTTTGGAATTTCTGAATATCGGAATTTCTAAATTTCTGAATATCTGAATTTCTGAATTACTGAATTACTGAATTTCTGAATATCTGAATTTCTAAATTTCTGAATTTCTGAATTTCTGAATTTCTGAATTTTCTGAATTTCTGAATTTCTGAAAATTCTGAATTTCTGAAAATTCTGAATTTCAGAATTTCTGAATTCTGGAATTTCAGAATTTGAGAAGTATCTTGTTTTTCTTAATTTTCTGGAAATTCTGAAAAATCGAAAAAGTTACTGTTTCAGCTTTTTTTTTTTCAATTTTCCGATATTTTCGGTTTTTCAGTTTTTGAAAAGACTTTTTGACTCCTGAATTTCTGAACTTCTGAATTTTCTGAGATTCTGAATTTCTAAAAATTCAAAATTCAGATTTTTCAAAATCATTTTTTTTTCAAATTTCATAAATTTTATATCATCCCGATCTCTTTCTTTTTAAACTCCATCCCATTTTTCTCATATTTTCCATATTTTTCCCTTTCCGGTTTTTCTTAAAAAAAAAAAAATATTTATTCAATTTTCAATGTTTTTTCTGTATTTTTTTTTTGGTTCTCAATGGTTTCAACCCTTTTTTGATATTTTCAGCTATATTCTCAGTCCTTTTTTCAGCCAATAGAAATTTCAGAAATATGGGAAAAACCACGCCACAAGAAGAAGCGTCACCGACAAAAATGGCTGCAAGTCATAAACCAAATGGACCCCAGAAATCTGGAAATTCTGGAATCCAGAAGAAAATGGAAAGCCGGAAGACAAAAAGAAAGAGGAATTAAAGAAGAAATCGAAGAAAATCCAAAATCATGCCAATAATTTGATGGATAACCTTCTTGGAGCACCAGCAATCGTTCCGCCGAGCCGTGAGTCTCTACGAAGTGCCTAGAAGAGCTACAGTAACCCATTGGAAACTTATCTACAGTAATCCAATTTTTTTCTACAATAGCCGAGATTTAGTAGTATTTTTTACTGTAGTTTTTCATCATTACTGTAGTTTTCTAAACATTTCAGGTTCAAAAAATTTTGAAACAGAAAACAAATGGTTATCTTGAAAATTCAGAAATCTGAATTTTTCAGAAATTCAGGTGTTTCAAAATTTTCCTATGTTTTTGAGATACCGTAAAACCTGTATTAGAAGGAACCTTTCAATAGGGTCCCTCTAATAGAAAGGCCCTCCGAGAGACGCTTGGAAAAATAGAAGGGCCGGCCCTTCTAATACAGGTCTTACGGTATTTGGGTTTGCAAAGTTTCAAAAAATTACTGTTTCAAATTTAACACAAAATTAAATTCAAAATTTCGAATTTCTAATTCCAATATACGACAATGTTTTCTAAATTTCGATTGTCAGCTAGTCGAAATGTTTTTCGAAATTACAGTAATCCTCTTTTTCTTTCTACCGTAATCCTTATATTTTGTCCCCGTAAGTCTATTTTTTCTATATCTCTAGATCCACATGACAATACAAATTTTCAAATCTAGTTATTTTTTTCCCCCAAAGATCTCTGTGAAACCCCAAAAAATTATTGTTCTATACATATTTTTTCTTCGTTTTTCTGTGTACCGTACACACACTCTAATAGAACGCCACCCGAAGCGCCAACTTTGAGCTCATGTATCTCATTTCCTGTGAGAGATATCAAAAACAAGTCAACTAATAAAATGTTGCTGATATCATGATAAGCATTTTATCAGTTGACAACTTTTTGATATCTTTCAAAAGAAGTGAGATATTCAGGCTCAAAGTGAACGGTCTCCGGGTGCCGTTCCATTAGAGTCTTTACGGTTTTTTTTTGAATTTCTATATTTTCAAATCCGTTGATTTTTTTTTAATTTTAAATAAAACACCTTTTCTTTTTTTAGTATTTGTTGTCACTTTTCCAAAGGTCTAAACACCCTTTTATAATACCGTTTTCTTTTTTTGCTTCTCTGCGTCTCTAATTTTTCTATACTCTCTCAATTTCAGTTTCTGGGAGAGCTCTCAAAAAATGTCTTTTCGTGATCATGCCAATCGTCAAAATCACCGAGAACCAGAGGAATATGGGAGGTTGGTTTTTTTTTTTAATTTGAAAATTTTGAATATAGAAAATTGAACAAATTTGAGACAAAAATCAAAAAACCAAATTTTGAAACAGTAATTTTTTTTGGGAACTTTGAAAAATAAGAAAAATAAAATAGAAAAACTCGATTTCTCAAAATTGCTGCCTAAAAAGACCGTAAAAAACCAATTGTTCCAAATTTGATGTCAAAATCATTCAAATTTTTGTTGAAATAGTGGAAACTTCAAAAATTCATTAAAAAAATGTTCTTATAATTTTTGAATTTCCAAAAATTTACAACCTAATTGTATTTTTAACACAAAAAACCAACTTTCTACGATGACTTTGAGCCGATTTAAACCTTTTCAATTTTTTCGTAAGAGACGCAGACAGCGAGAGCGCTCTCGTTTCTTTGCGTCTCTCACTTAAATCGTAGTGGCAAGCGGGCGGGCCCGGGCAGGCGGCGGGCCGGATGATAACCCTAAAACGAGGGCTCCGCGTCATTTCGAAACTGCGTGACACTTCGAAACCAGTCATTTCGAAACCGCGACACTTCGAAACCAGTCGTTTCGAAACAGCGACACTTCGAAACCGGTCATTTCGAAACCGGTCATTTCGAAACCAGTCATTTCAAAACCGGTCGTTTTGAAACCGCTGGTCTCGAAATGCCCGGTTTCGAAATGACCGGTTTCGAAGTGTCGCTGTTTCGAAACGACTGGTTTCGAAGTGTCGCGGTTTCGAAATGACTGGTTTCGAAGTGTCACGCAGTTTCGAAATGACGCGGAGCCCTCGTTTTAGGGTTATCATCCGGCCCGCCGCCTGCCCGGGCCCGCCCGCTTGCCACTACGATTTAAGTGAGAGACGCAAAGAAACGAGAGCGCTCTCGCTGTCTGCGGGGGATCCTCTAGAGTCGACCTGCAGG